ATTGGGCACAAGTCAGAGCTTCTCAAGTATGTGCAGGTTGACTGATAAACAAAGTCTTCTCTAGCCTTGAACCAGTGAAGCAGTTAGCCCCCTATGGAATGGCCTTGAATGATGACTCAGAAAGGAGTCTATATAATTTAAACAGTTCAGTGTGCCTAAACTATGAAACCTCCTCATTTGCTAAGATAAAATGTCTTGACGTAGCTGTTATAACCCCAAACGCTAATTAACAATGGGAAAAATTTGATTATGACCGCAAACCTGGGGATCTGGTTGACTTGGTAACAACACTCTCACACATCATTCATTCAGCCCCTCCCAGCTGTAGTGAATTCGAAGTTGTAACTGTTTCTCTCTGCTTTCACCCTGTCTTCTTAGTATAAGTGCTATGCATTCACGAGAGCATATGAATTTATAAAAACATTACCTGGGGTTGTAATTTAAATTTGCAGATAATGCCACACGTGGTTTGGTTCTAAGAGTCAATAAATATTGCAGTTTGAAAAGAGACTCCACCAAAGCTGAAATCCATTAAAATCCTAAAATTATTCCATCCAAATTTCTCACACCAGTGTATTACGTAGGAAAATTTTATGTCAATGTAAAATATTTATTTTGAACTTTAATTAAATAGATTAAGTTTTAATGCAACAGGTAAACTTAGTAGGTTAAATGTAGCAGATGAAATTCTTCTGCCATAAAGTAAATCTTCACTCTGTTGTAATCCAGGTAACATGTGCTAATATCCTTTCTTGTCATATATTATTTTCTCTGGTATTTTCATCACTTCTGATTCCCCAAACACACATAATTATTTTTCTGTTGCCTTAAGTTTTTCTAATATTTTTGTTTGTTTCTTGTTTTTATAGCTGTCTGCCTTCTTTTTAAAAAAATATTTTATTTATTTATTTTTTAGAGAGAGGGGAAGGGAAGGAGAAAGAGTGGGAGAGAAACATCAATGTGTGGTTGCCTCTCGTGTGTCCACTACTGAGAACCTGGCCTGCAACCCAGGCATATTCCCTGACTGGGAATCAAACCAGTGACCCTTTGCTTCACAGGCCAGCACTCAATCCACTGAGCTACACCAGTCAGGGCTGTCTGCCTTCTTATATGTTTGATTTACTCTCAGAATTGAACCACTCTCTCCTATAGCTAGATCTTTATTCCTTAGAATTCTACAGCACAAAAGAATACTGATAAGTAGCAAAAACAAAGTATTTATTTTCCCTGAAGCAAAATAATAATAATTCCCTGAAATTTATATAAAGATAAAATATTATTTTTTCTATTTCTTTCCCCAACAAAGTAATGTAAATATTTAGTGTCAAATAGCTACATTTGTTCAGATGCCTTGCACAGTTTATTTCCTAGTTAATAAAGTTGCAATCATATGAAAATATAATAGTTATTAAAATAAGATTAATTTTGGACAGATCTATTATTTAATAAATTATGTTGCTCTGCAATGCCCAGTCAACTGATTTGCTAAGCAAAATATTATATAAATTTTCCAACCGACATACTTTGTTTTTCAACTCTACATTTTAAATACATAATAGTTAATGCTAGTGATCTTTTACATTGTCTTCCAAAAGTGATATTACTGCTGAGCTACACTAAGTACTATAATTAAATTTGATTTGTATCTATATTAATTAATTAACCTTAACATTTTCTGGAACAGTCAAGCTAAGTTAGAACTTGGAAGAACAAACAACATTTAGCAATAATTATCACTACTAAACTAGCACCATTAAAGAACAACCATTAGCAGCATGCCAACTTTGTGGATATTACCTACCAAACCACAAATCAAATTAGCATATTCTTCATTTATTTTATTAGCTGTTACCACTAGACAGAATTCCTTGTTGAAAGTCAAGATCAGCTGGCATGGGTTTACTATTTGTCATTGAGTTTATACGAATACATGGGCTAACTGTTAATTACATCTATTTAATAGATTTTTCCATTATACTTTTAAAATGTTTTGCCAAGAATACATTTTACTAGAGACTACAAGCACCACATATCACTTAGTGGTATTTTTCTCAAGTACAGAATTTGATCTTAAAAAGTTCAGATTGAAATAATTCAACTCATTTCTATAAAGAATATAAATGAATAGGCTAGACAGACTTATCAATGTAAATGACCTCTATATGAAAAATCAGATCAAAGATTAGGAATCTATTTTGTTCTGAAAACCAGAGATTCAGTAAAGCCGACTGCCTGTTGGTCTCCATCCCCAGTCGGACTGGACCCTGTTTCTACCTTGGTTAGTGGCTTCTAAAAAGTAGGCAGCCTTTACATCCGGGCATTTCCAGGAATTTCTTTACGGCACTCTGGGAACAATCGTACATTCTGGCTCTGAGCGGAGCATTAAACAGACAAACAAAAATATTTGTGAAGTATTTAACGAAGCTCAATGGTGTCAGGAGTCCCACTACGCATTGGAGGTTTTGAAGAAAGAACTGTCTTGTGATCAACTGTGTAATTGGATGAGATAAAAGCTCATTCTTAAAGATAAACTGGGTTGACTCCCTGTAGTTCAGTTTCATGGCCTAAGGACAAAACTTCCTCATTTGTGTACGACTCTGTGGACCTGACATTGGAACCAACTACCAGAGGAAACATGATCCATACAAGATATAGAATGAGGGAACTTCGATAATGTTAGATTTTTCTAGAAACACTGTATTTGAAACTTCCGTGCCTATCTTAAGGCTAAGTCCCAGTCACTCAATCAAATTTATTTAAGCAACAGACCTACTAAGCATCCATCAAGCTGTTCATCATTAGTAAAACTCTATAATGTCAAGATAAAGTTTCTTCAAAATTAAAGTTCTAGAAAAGGAAAAAACAATAGGGCTGTAATTTTATTCAACTGATAAGTAAAATGTTTTGCCCTTTCTGAAATTTCACAGTTCAACTTAGCAGATAAAGTCCAATAGGAGATTTTAAAACAAGAAACTGTCAATTAGTCTAAAATAGACCTAAAAATGTTTATGCAGAGACACCATACTGATAATTCCACCAATTCTCACCACTTTTCACAAGATATAAAACTTCCTAAAGCAGGAGTTTGGCACTGCTCTTCCTTAGCAAGAATTAAATCACTTCAATGGCAGAAGGTGAGTGTTTTAAATGGAGCTGGCAGAATAAATTATTCCATCACATCACTTAGTCTTTTTTTTTTCTGTTCTTCTACACTGTGCCCAAAAGAAGGCTATTTATTTAAGGTTTGGTAAAAGTCCTGGACAGCAGAATAGACAGGAGAAGCATCTCAAATACACAAGATCGGAGCCATTAGTAAAGGAAAACAAGACCAAATTTTCCTGAGAAAATATCCTAAGTAAAATGAATAAACAAAACAAAACACCAATGTGGTCATATTTAAGGGCTACCCTTGTGAGTTCACTTAATAACATCCAGTGCTCCTTTAATAACATGCAATATACTTTTATACGGCTCACAAGTGCTACCTAATACAAGAGGGTTCAATAACTGAAATGATTAGAAGATACGGTGAGGAAGAATTCCTAGCAAAGGAATAGAGTTTATATGCTAACACAGGCAGGATCACATTTGACGCAAGGCCTTTGGGAAAATCCTTCCTGATATGCAGGGTATTTATTTGCTACCACATTACTATCATTTAATAAAACACGTGTCCCAACAGAACACATCTCAGGAAGTGAAACATTAACATCATAAGAACCAATATAAAATACACAGTCATCAAAAGCTATCCCCCCCACACACATCTGAAGATGGGTATTACAATCTCTGTTTGGCTTGATTTCATTGGGGTGTCACACTCAGTAATTGTTCATCTCTATAATACAATGTAAAAGACATTGGAAGGCTTGGGAAAATCTATTCCTTCTGCCTCCCCCCGCCCCCCCCCCTCGTGCTTGTTTTCCCTACACTTTCAGCAGAAGAAATTTCATCCTGGAGAGAATGGACTTGCCATTTAACATGTGTATGCCATTTATACAAGAGTTATCCATCAGTAGAACAAACTATATTTTATATTTTTCCTGAGTTGTCAATGATTCACCAACACACTCATTTTATTATCTGTCATTGCACTGCAGATACGATAAATAGTTTCCTTTCTTCCTTCTTTCTAGTTTGGACATTACTCACTGAGTCACATTTTCTGGACAAAAACGGAGGAATAGCTCTCTAAATAGTAACCATCAATGGAAAAACCAGTGCACAGCCAGGCACTGCCTGTTACAATGTTAGCAAATATCACTGTAAAGTGGCAACAGAAAGAATAAATCACTCCCTACTTCTCTCTGACCTGCACCCTGTCCACCAGGATGCTTGGACAGAATCTTATTTTTCTCCCCATCACTGTATCAGTAGGATAAAAGGGCTTATTTAATTGTGTAAAGTAAAATGAGACTGGAATGAAATAACAGCTATGACTTTTTCTTGTTGGCATAAAACTGAAAAAGCAGAATTGTTCATTAAGTCATGATTAAGCATTAACATTTAAGCAACAGGTTATCTTACATTGTCACAAAACCCCAGTGTCGGATAAGAGCAACAGGAATGGTTTCAGTCAGCCCTGGTATAGCCAGGAAATTCTCTGCAGCCCGTCTTGGGCTTTCCCAATTAGTACTCAGCAATGAAGTCAGGAACCTGACGTGATGATGTAAATATCCCCTTTTTGTGTGTACATTGTGTCATCCACAATAGAAGGCAAATGTTTCAACCCAGGATGAGTGGTTGGATAAACTGTCACAGACTTATTTTACCATGATCTATAATGTACTTAAAATATGTGAAAGTGCCAGAGTACAAATAAAATCAAATTAAGATCTCTGTGTGCAGAGCATACTAACGATACGCCATTGAGGGCTGACACTCGTGGTTTGGTAGAGCACTCCACCCCTTGTACGCCATTTAGTTTAAAAGAACACGCCCCCATTCTCGCATTCACAAACGCACTCAACACCCATGTAAATAAAAAAAAAGGAACTTACACAATTTCATCGTTCTGGAATTCGAGCTCTCCACAGGTGTCCTCGAAGTCCTCTCCGCCGCCTCTGGCTGTCCCTTCAATGGTTTTATAGGGAACGATAACATTCCCTCGAGCTCCAGATGTTCTCAGCACTTTGACCTCCATGATGCCGATGCTCTCACTCACATGGGTCACGGGCTCCTCGAAGGTAAAGATGCCCGCGTGGTCATCATCAAAAATGGTCACAGTGGCCGTGGAGGGAGAGCCGAGGCAAGCGAGGGTAGAGACATGGTTGGCTTCCAGTATGCCATCTTCCGAAGCCTCTGAAGACACTTTGACGTTGCTGAGATGCACGAGGAAATTCTCATCCTCCTCAAAGATATCGTCATCGATGATGCCAACTCTGATTTCCTTCTGGGTCTCACCGGGCTTAAAGACCACAGTCCCTTCAGTAAATTCATAATCAGATCCGGCATTGGCCGTACCGTCCTCGGTTCTGAAGTCAACAAACACGGTGTTGGTCAAATCCCCACCTCTGCGGAGGATGGTCAGGGCTACCGTACCACAGTTCTCCAGACACTGATATGTCCCTTGTTCGAAGAAGATCTTACTGACAGGGTCGTTTTCGGCCACTTCGGTGTTGACCTCGTGCATGCTGACGGCCTTCCTTGCCTGGTCGGCCGCATGCCTCTTTAAAATGTTGCCAGCGCCAGTCATCAGGCGAGTGGCTTGAATGCGGTAAAATGCGCGGCTCTTCTGCTGCTGACTCAGGACTTGGTAGTTAGCTAATTCTATTAATTGCTCTATTTCTTTCTCTGGGTGCTTCTGCTTGAGTTCCTTCAGAATCCTAGCCATTTCTCGCCTAGCCTCTTCATCGTCCTGGTCCCTCTCATCGACCTCCAGAACCAGAGCGCCATCTAAGAAACTGTCCACGTGGGAATTGACCACTTTCCCATCCATTTCAATTTCAGTCTTGGAAGATGGCCTGTCTCCTTCGTGTTCAATAATCATTCCCCTCTGCTTGCCGGCCCGGTACCTCTTATAGACGTACTTGTAAAACAGAAGCCTCCTATCTGCTACCCAAGCGAACACAACGCAGATGGGAAAGAAGAAGAAAGTCAGTAAACCTTCCCAGACCTCCACGACTCCAGGAGAGATGACAGACAAAATAATGTAAAGCCAGGTGTAAGCAAAGATGCTCCAGGCTGCCGTCACGAAGAACACACGCAAATGCTTAATCTTCCTTGTCTCTCCATCTGGGACTACATAAACACAAAGTGCAATGATGATGAACATGTTGAATGCAGCACTTCCAACGATGGTGCTGGGACCCAGGTCTCCTGCAGTGAAGTTGTGGCCACACACTTCAATTACTGAGAGGAGAATCTCTGGAGCAGAAGATCCCAGGGCCATCAAGGTCAGGTTGGAAACTGTCTCATTCCAGATCCTCACAGTCGTCTTGGTGGTCTCTCCATTGGGCTTCTTGATGGTTATTTCTTTTTCTTGAGACGTGATGACTTCTATAGAGGACATGAACCGGTCGGCAATGATAGAGACTCCAAGAAACATGTAGACCATGGCCACGAAATACACAGTCGCTCTAGCAATTTTGTCCCCAAAGGAAGGGTCTTGGGGCTCCCAAATGGGTAAAATCACCCCTTTCTTACAGTAATAGGAGCCGGTACACTCGCCAGTTTCATTGCCTTCCCCTTCCATTTCTGTCTCAGCACTTATATGGTCCACGTAGGAAAATAAGACAGCCACGATGGCCAACAGATGAAATCCCAGGGAGAAGGTGGATGAGAGACTTACTCGCAGCATGTTGTACAACGGCAGACTTCCAGCTGTCCCAGCCTACTGGTAAAAATAAGATGGGGGTTGGGGGGGGGGGAAATTGCATTATTAGAGCCAGATCCAAGGCACGACTAATTCCTCACTTTCATTTCATTTTACCAATGACTGGTTTATACTTGACTATCACGCCACGTATGGTAAATCATTATTCCAAGAATCCATCAGTGATTAAGTTTATAAGTTAATCTCACCGCTTGTGGATTTTCTAAATGTAGTCCCCATTCACTAAGCAATGTACACAGTTGACCTGCTGGAAATAAACAGTCCAATTATAGCCTTGCCTCGCTCCATGCACATTTATGCATGTTAACAGCCAATTAAAAGGGGAAAAAAGTCCAAACTTTTGAAGCATTAAATCATTTTCTCCTTGTAGCTAATGCAGATTTTTCCCTAAATTTTGGTTAGTACAAATACCTTCCAGAAACTCTTTCATTGCCAAAATCACCTTATTAAGAGTGATGCTTTAGTGCTGGTCCTGAGTCCCCTGGATGAGGCAATTAGGGTCAGGAATGTTACCTCCTGAGCCATCTCCTCTCTCATTAATATTATTTGACATTTTTATAATCCTTTGTAAAGTGTGGGTAGACGCTGCTTTGGAAGATTTTGCTAATTCTATCAACCTAAATAAATCTAAAAAAAAAAACACCAAAAGATGGATGCTTTGAAGTTCAGACTTTAAATTTCTACCAGCACAGCGCCTGGTGATAATCTTAAGTTCTGGAGCCACACCTTACACTAAACTGCATGAAATCGTGCCCTACTGCTCCAAACTCACTTGGAAACGCAGAGAAATCTTCACACGTGCCTGCAATCAAAGCTCAATGGTATTTGTACTTGAGGGGAAAAAATTCTGCTGTAATGTAATATTTCCACACATTTAGTACAGTTTTTAAAAGCGTATTTGATGAGAGCACATTTCCTCCTAATTTTCAGCAAGCCCAGGTCCCCCGATGCATTAGCAGCTGGGCATCTGGTTCTTCAACCACAGCTCTTCCCATCTGTGCACAGATCTCACTAGAGGCTGCAGGCTGTCCACAAGAGGAAAGGCTGGTACCCAGGCCGAAGTCTGGCTGTGTGTTAAGATTCTTGCCTGGCAGGCTGTGAAATCAGCGTTACCGGCCATAAAGCGTTCCTTCTTGGTGTTGATGTCATACTTTCCACGGTCCTTCTAAAACACATCTTACTTCTATGGAGGTTCAAGTGACCAAAAAGTGCAGGAGCAGTAATTCCATCTATATTAGCTCATGTGGCAGAACGACAGTGACCACAAAGTAATATATGAGGGAGGGCTGTAGGCAATTAGGGTTATGGCAACGGAGTCACTGAGCAGCGCAAAGCTTGGGAAGCCGAGAGAAGTGATGCACTGAGCCACCATGGCTCCAAATTCACCCGCCAGCTTAGGCCACGCTCAGCTCGGGCCTGACATCCCCTCTCCCTCCAGGGGCTGGTGGAATGCTTAGAGCAGACCCTCCTCTGAGGGTCTAAGTCAGGGCAACTCTGGTCTGGAAGGTCAGTTATGACATCACATGAAATGGTGATAAGAAGGGGACTGGAGTGGGAACACAACCTTGTAACCCAATAAAAAGTTAAAAGTGGAGCTGGATTTGAGTCTTTCACGGTCTCAGGCTGTCCGAGCATCTCCTCCATATTTACCTACATTCTCTGGGAACTGCAGCAGGGCCCAGGAGACAGCCCTCTCTACCCGCCCCAGCACAGCCCAGCACGTTCTGGCAGACCTTCAGGGAGTCTGCCACCACCTAAAGCCCTTCACGGCTCATCACTGTTGGGAGATAAGCTCTGGCATTTTCCCCACATGAAAGAAAACACAACAGAGAGATGTGGTGGTAGAGTTCCATTCTAAGTAAAAGGCAGAGAAACAGAAACACATTTGCAGAATACACAGAAGTTCACGGTCACTGTGACTGCTTGTTCAGTCATTATAGGGCTTGGGTGGATGGTAGGGTCTCCTAAAACAAGGCGACATTGACCAGCCCATAAGAGTAGTAGAAGGTCTAGTTCTGTCTCTCATGCAGCCATTTCTTCCACAAATATTTACGCATGCCACCTAATACATATGTCAGAATGACCTAGGCTCTCTTCTAGGTCCTGAGAATTTGTTGACAAATTTTTTAAAAAGTCTCTGTTCACAGGCCTTACACTCTAGTGGAAGGAAACAAACCGATAAACACAAATGTTGGGTGGGAAAAAGTGCTGTAATGGAGTGGGGAGAAACAGACGGGGAGGGGAGGCTATGTGTGTGTCCGTGTGTGTCCGTGTGTGTAGTGTGAGCAGACACACACAGCACACATCATTTATACACAATGGTTAAGAAAAGCCTTTCTGATAAGGGGACATTTTAGCAAAGTCCTGAAGGAAGCAAGGGACCAAGCCTTGTGGATGGATGTCAGCTAGGATAGAATTCCAGGTAAACACTGCCAAGCCCCTGATGAATGGGATTGTGCTTCGAGTGGTGCAGGAACCACAGAGAAACCGTGTGATGAGAGGGCAATGAGCAAAGGGAACAGGGAACAGGGCTCAGGGATGGGAACACAGTGGGGATGGACCACGGGGGCCACAGAGGCCACTGTCAGGCACTGACTTTGACTGAGAATGAGATGGGAATCAGAGGGAGGCTCTGCTCACAAGGATGACAGCTGGTTTCCTTTTAAAAAGGACCTACCTCTCTGCCAGTTCCGTGGAGAACGACTGTAGGGGAAGGGTGGAAACAAAAAGATGGAACTGGAAAGCATTATGCTGAGTGAAATAGGCCAGGCATTGAAAGACAAATACCATATGATCTCACCTTTAACAGGAAGCTAAACAACAAAACAAACAAGCAAACAGGGTAAAAACAAAGACACTGAAGTAGAGAACAAGTGGGCAGCGACCAGAGGGGAGAGGGAAGGGAATTTAAGGGGAAAAATGGGGAGGGATTTTGAGGAACAAGTATGAAAGACACAGGGATGAGGACTGGCGGGGGGGGGGGGGGAGGAAATGGGAGGGAGGTGGGGAGACGGGGTGGGGGGGGCTGGGATGGGAGAAATAGACAAAAAACTGTACTTGAAAAGTAACTAAATAAAATTTTTAAAAAAGACCAGCGTTTGACTATTATTTAAAAATTTGTTTTATAAATGATCTCAGTGCCTGGAAGGTATGAAAATAATACGGTGGAGATCTGAAGTTTAAAAAGGAGAAAACCACCTTTGTAGGGACCCTTGAATGATACCTTTGAAGTGTCTTGGGAGTCTGCAAGGATCCGAAAGGGTAAGCAGCTGGTCACAGGCAGTCAAACCTGTGCCCGTCTCTGAGGCAGATATATATGGTTAGCCACTGCCTCAACATTGGGCCAGACCTCACTATGCCGCTCTTCACATTTCAGCCAAAATGAACTTCCTAACATGCAGGTCTGACTCTCTCACTCCCCCTAAAACTCTTCATTGTTGCCTACTTCCCTGAAGGCAAAGCCAAACCCTTCAGCAGGCTGTTCAGATCTGCCAGGATCTAGCCTCTGAGTTCCAGAATTGGGAAAGTCTCCCCATTCCCTGAACAGGAAAACACTTTCTTACCTCCCAGTCTTTGCATATTGTGTTTCTGTGCCCCAAACGATTTTCCTTCTTAGAAACAAGTTTCAAATAGCACAACAGCAAACAGCCAATTGCTCAAGAGAGTAACACTAAAGTCCATTCTTAAACACGATCCCTGACACCATGCTGAATTTCTTTACATGTATCATCATATCTAACCCAACCACCAGCACCGCTGTGTTACACAGCTACTGCGGCCACGTCCATCACAGTCGGTGTGAGTCACACCCCCTGTGGTTGTGCAGCACACTGTGCTCTAACCACAACCCTCTGCAGTAGATATTGTTGGCCCATCTTGGAGGTGGGCGAACTGAGGGTCAGCCCATTTAAGTACAGTCATACCTCGGTACTCATCAGCTTCAGTACTCGTCAAACCCTGGACTCATCACATTTTGATGAGAAAAAAAATGTTTCAGCACTCAGCTCTTGCTCGGGACTCATCGCACTTGCTAGGACTTGTATGAGTCACGATGCTGCCCAGCAAGAGAAGATGCTTCCTCATTCATCGCTTGAAAAATGAATTCAGTGTTCATTAGTTGCGGCACTCATCATGAGTTCCCGTACAAATTAACAGCAAGTACCGAGGCACCGCTGGACTTGTTCAAAGTCACACAAATAGTAAACTCCTGAACTGGGATTCATCCCTGCTCTGTCTCTGAGACTGATGTAATTAACCTCTATTATATCATTCCTGATAGTGTGTGAAGTAATCTTTCAGAACTATTAAACTTGGGCTTGGACTAGCCCATTGGAAAACCTCTTGGCTTTCGTGCAGGTGTAGGAGGGCGTAGGTGGCAAAAGTCCCATGGAGGGTTTCCAACAGCCTGGCTTTTATCTCAGGGCTTGGAGACTCAAACAGACAAGCATCAATAGCTGTGACGTAACGTGTGGCCTGGCACGTTCCTTGGGACAGCTGTCCTTCACTCTCCAGCCTTTTAGCAATTACCTGGCAACCTCTTCCTGCATGCACTCCTGGGGCGATCTCTCAGGTCAGCCAAGGAAAAGCCCTGCCCCAGCTCATATCTCATAATATGTTCTTAGCCAAAGGGTAGCAGATGTGCAAGGGTGGATGAAGCAATAAATATCCATCACCATCATCAGAGAAAAACAAAGGGGACTTCTGAGGATAACTCGAAAACATTACAAGTCTATTCAAAATGGGTAGTAGTATAATTTGTGAAATCAGTGGACACAAATGACTGATATAGGTCATTGGCAATGAAGCAAGTGGAAGGAACTTTCCGGACTTCAGCTTCTTTTCTTTATTCCACCAAATCCAAATGCTCAGGATGAAATGGGAAAGCTGTTATTTAAATGTGAGCGCCTTCTTCGTTCTTTTGTCCCAGTCTTTCAGGGTCTTGCCTCTGCCATCAGATTCAAGCAGGTCTACCTGGCCTCCCTGGTTTCCCCTCACGTAAA